AAATTTGTTTACTTGGCCACAATCTATGACAATGCTGCTGAGCTGTATCCTTTGTCTAAAAAATCGTTACTGTCTGTAATGAATCTGAGAACTAAGCAGAAGGCTAAATTTGTTTACTTGGCCACAATCTATGACAATGCTGCTGAGCTGTATCCTTTGTCTAAAAATCGTTACTGTCTGTAATGAATCTGAGAACTAAGCAGAAGGCTAAATTTGTTTACTTGGCCACAATCTATGACAATGCTGCTGAGCTGTATCCTTTGTCTAAAAAATCGTTACTGTAATGAATCTGAGAACTAAGCAGAAGGCTAAATTTGTTTACTTGGCCACAATCTATGACAATGCTGCTGAGCTGTATCCTTTGTCTAAAAAATCGTTACTGTCTGTAATGAATCTGAGAACTAAGCAGAAGGCTAAATTTGTTTACTTGGCCACAATCTATGACAATGCTGCTGAGCTGTATCCTTTGTCTAAAAAATCGTTACTGTCTGTAATGAATCTGAGAACTAAGCAGAAGGCTAAATTTGTTTACTTGGCCACAATCTATGACAATGCTGCTGAGCTGTATCCTTTGTCTAAAAAATCGTTACTGTCTGTAATTTACAAAATAAATCGGAAAACTCATGTTCTTCTTTTTCTGAAACATTGATTTCATCTTTAAAAACTTTTAAGTCTTATATGCAGAAAAATGTACTAACGTTGCGGAGGGGTAGGTTATTAGAAAAAAATATGTATATATCAGAAGGTATTATTTGTATTGCTTGCATGAAAATAAACTTCTCCACAAATATTTAACTTTGGGTATGGCACAAGGTCATCAATGACAAAATATAAAACAAACAATATTCCTTTTTAGAAAAACAAGAATAAAGCATTTATATAACAAATATCTTTCATAATATACATCTATTGGATGCTTTAGTACACATCATTAGTGATGTTTCTGGCCGAGGTTCATTAGGGGTTTTGGTCTTTCAACATCATACCCCCTCTCCACAGGTGACCCAGCCAATACTGATTGGGTATCTGACTCTTCTTGGCAATTTATTGTCCAATCCCAGATAACTTGATTTGATCCTCCCCCCCCCCAAGGCATATATGCACACACACAGAAACGCACTCAAACATAACATTCTGCTTACATTTATCCCCATTTTCATTCATGTTAATCATCCGATCAAGGAAAAGGATCCTCCACCTATATGAGTTATATCAATGTCACCACACACACAAAAAAAAACAAAAAAAAAAACAACCTAAATACCGTAACCCTGGTAGGGGACAATCTTAGCCAGGGATCACCCGTAGATAACAATGGTTTGGGGTACCCTAATTCTGTTCCCTAGTTAAGACTCCATTGTTTTAGGTTATACCCAGGACCTCCCCCACCACAAAAAAATTTATATATGTATATATAAACTGCAACTTGCTTTCATTTCCGTACTGACTGCCAATCACTTGATCTTTTCAACCAAAGCCATCTAGAAGCCTCTACTGCTGCTAATGTTATTGAGCAAATAGTTTTGTTTTTTGCTAAACCTGTTACACTTAATTTTGGTGACATCTTACATAGAGACCACCCAGCAAAGCCCCTGAAACTGATTTCAATCGGTTCACACTGAGCTCACCAACTGCATCTTTTACATTCCTCTACAATCGGTAAATATTTCCCAAGCTTCCTTTTGTGGGCTTCGTTCATATTTTCTTTCCAAGGGACTGTTAATTCCATGATGATTTGCTTGGTCTTTTCAGAATAAATAACCATGTCTGGACAAAGCTTAGTTTGTATTACTTTCCACTGGAAATTTAAGCTGTTTGCCTATATTTACTCTCAATTGCCAATCTGGGGCAGAGCTGAGGGATGTTTTCTTCTTCTGTAATGTCTTTACTTTTTCCCTGGCTCTGACAAAATTCATAGTCTTCTTATTTGGTTCCTATATGTTTTATTTTAGACTCCTTGATACTGTTGTTGCAAGGACTCTTAAAACTTTATCATGCTGCCACCGGTACCTCCTCTTGCTAAGTGCCTTAGGGCAACCGCTCAACATGAGTTGGAGGGACCCTCTCTTCTGGCACAATGGACAAAGTGGAGACTCAGTCTTTCCCCACATGGTTTGCCAGGCTAGGCAGTGTTTTATACACTGCCTGCACAAGGAAGCTTGTATTCCTGGGATTGGTATACCAGTGATCTGTCCAGGAAATCTTTTTTCCAGGTTTCACCATCTTGTCGAGTCCCCCTGTTGACCTGAAGTCACCATTTTACTTAATCTAATTTCCACACCCGCCCTCACTTCAGATTGAAGACAGTGTTTATGATCTTTCCTTTTTCCCCTACCTTGTGGATTGGAACAGTAAACTAGGCCTGATCTGCCCACTGCTACTGTTCCTAATAGCATTTTCTGTCTCAACCTTTGCTCTGTTGTGCGATGCCTTCAACTTTCTCCCAATTCGAACCTCAATACCAGCTTCTGCAACATTAGGATCTTTTGTATCACTATATTGGATTGCCACCCTTGTCTTCGCCACTTTAAACTCTTCCACTAATCCTCTGAAGGGAAGTTGCAATGCATTAGAAACTCCATACAGAGCAGCACTGCTTAAATTTCTTGGTAAGCTAAGCCATCTTCTCAAATATCCGCTCACTTTTTTCTCCATCTTCTCAAATGTTGTCAATGCCACTTCTTCATATAACATCAGTGGCCACAAAATCTTTGACAGAATGGTATGTTGGTATATCCATGACTTAAAACGGCCTGGTAGACCTGATTTGTCCACTTTATTCAACATTGCTTCAAGGTCTGAAAAACATTTCTGGGTAGCATCAGTATCTTTTAAATTAGTATTGAAAATTTTCCCCAGACACTTGACTGTTTTTTCTTTTAATGACATGATAATCCCTCTCTTCAGTACTAATGACTTCGATTTTGTCAGTTTAAAATTCATTCTTGCCCATGTCATTCTTTTCTAAACCTTGCAATATCCACCGGCATCCAGGGACTGTGGATGTAGTAACTGTCAGGTCATCCACATATGCATGAATTGGGGATTGTTGTACTCTGTTTCTCATCACTGGATCTCAATACACAACCTCTGTTGATTTTACTAACATGTTATACAACATGAGAATGAGAATAGATAGTTTGTTCAGTGTTCCTGTCAGTAAAAGGATTTTCAAAGAATTAATCATTTCAAATTAAATAATATTTTACATCATAAATTTGTCATAGTTTTATATTGGAGATTAAGGTAAGAGTTGTCTCCCTTTTACCTTTATATATATTTTTTGTTAATGAAATAGATAAAAAAGGTGGAAGTTTAAATAGTACGTGAATAAAGTTGATTCAACAAATGAGTAAAGTTTTTTGAAGAAAGTAAGTTGCGTTGTAATCGAAATTGGTAAATGAAATGTTGGTTGATATCAAAAGTTGAATTTTGTGTTTAAAAGATAAGTTTTATGCTTATAACTTTTGAGTAAATGGTGCATTTAAGAATATTTGGCTGTAGTGACTTGAAGTAAGTTTGCATTAGGTTATGTTCAAAGTTGCTTTTTGAATAAAATGTTTGTTTGGCAAACTATGTTCTTTGAGTAGAATTCTTGTCTCGATAAAAATCGTAGATGTTAAAATTGAAGTAAGTGTAGTTTGTCGGCGAGGGAGTGAATTCGAAGTTTGGGATTAAGAAGGAAATCTAACTTAGAAACTTCTTCAAAGATTTGAATGGTGTGAATTTGTTTGGCAAATTGTTTGATGCCGCAAAGCTCACTGTTAGAAGTTGATAAGTTTCTGTTGCTTGTAGTTGAAGGAGCAAATGAAATGATTAAGAGATGTGCAATGTTCGCACGTACGTGTGTGTGTGTGTGTCATAGTGCCTTCCCATAAGGGACAGAGATGTAATCTCTCTAACGCGACATCTTGTGCGTGTGAGAGAAGGCAAGAGAAAGAGTTGAAGATGTCATTGTTGTATGTCCCGTGATAGGCTCAAAATACATAAACATATTTTTTGTTTGACGGTAAATTAATTTTTTTTAACCGTGCGGACGTAGACAAAAAAAGCATGATATTGGCATTAATTGACCAATCAGGAGTCAGAGAAATTAAATATCAAGGCTCTGTGATCCACTTTGGCGTTTAGTTTGTGCAAAAATTGACATCGAAAGAAAGTGGTGGGTAGCAGAATGCGAATAGTCTCATTCTAAAAATAAGTACATGGGAAAGAAATAATAAATAAATGAAATGTGTATTTAAAATATTTGAAGTAGATCCTGTATATAGAATTAAAAAAAAAAAAAAAGAAAGTTCATTTTTGAGAGGATCAGAAAAATTATACCCAGAATCAGGAATCTTTAAAACTTCATATCTGATTTAGACCCACCCCAAACATTTTTATTTTGTGGGTGCCTTTGCGGTCGGTAGTCTCTAAATCGGTTATATTGCTTATTTTCTGTGAGTGGTGGTGGTTGTGGTTCTTCCCTGTTAGTGTTGTTATTGTTTTCACTTTTTGAACGATCCTCAGTCACTCAGTTTGAGTTTGAATTATTTTTTTTTTTTTTAAATTTCAAGACAACTGTTCTTCAATCTCCCAATAATATATTGTGACAATGTAAACAATTTCCCCTTAAGCAGAAAAAACACCATTTTTTTTAAATCAAAATCTTCCTTCGTTAACTTGAAAAACCGTGATAATACCCAAGTAGTTGATTGTTTAAAATAGACTAAAAAATAACAGGCAAGTAAGTATTTCTTGCATAATAAAGGACTAAACTCTTCTGCGGTTGGAGATTCGAAAGAACTTTTTTAAGTTTTAGGTGGCAGAGGAAGTTTGTTTTTTTCTTTTTGCCGCTAAACTTTTTTCGCTGTGGTTAACAAACCAAGAAACTAACAAACTACGACTTCTGTTTTATTTTCTGTTCAACATCAACCTAACATAGAATTATCTCTTTCTTTGCTTCCTTTCTGTTTTCTTTAACTGATTACTAACCTTTTATTTTGCTTCTTGCAATAATGTATTTTTTTGTGATACTACCGCTGCTGTCGCTGTCTTTTTGGTGTAAGTTTTTAAAAATTACTTCTTATTTAACAATTTTAACTGTAACAGAAATGTGATGTTCAAAGTCAAACACTTCCCATAACAATACATAGAGCTGCCATTTATGGAACTTTTAAAAAAAAAAAAAAAACATAAAAAAGTAAGTTTTTTTTTTTTTTTTTAAAAATAAACTTAAATATTTTTTTACATGTCAGTCATTTTTTCTCGGAATTTTTTATTTAATTTTTGTTTCGTCTAAATCGTACAGAACAAATATTAAATTATACTAAATTTTACAGTATTCTTTTCCTCTTCATTATTCATTTTGTGAGAATATTTTTAATTTGTTACAAAAAATATATAACATGGTAACTAACACCTGTTCGTATTAATCGGGTTTTACTTTTTGGTTTATAGCAAAAACAAAAACTCTGGTCTTTGTTACGTTGTTAGTTTTTTTTACTTATAAGAACATTTCGTTTGTTTAATAAAAAAACATTTTCATAAAAAGTGTAAAGTAAAAACATTGACCGCTTGAATTAAATGAAATGCATTAACTTGTCTTCTAGGCACTGTTGACGGATAAGAAAGAAATAATTTGAAAACGATATATTTCTAAATTTCAACTACACATGAAAAAGAAAGCCATGCTCAAAACAGCTGTGTCTGTTTGCCTTGTAGCTGTAATCTCTTACTACAGTTTTTGGAAATATGTTTATAATGGTCAAGTCCTAAAATCAGGAGCTATCTTAGAAGATCAGCATCAGAAAACTATTGCAGACAAGGATTCTCATGATTCTCAGATAAAGAAAAGCATCCCAGCAGAATTACATGGACCCGCTCTGAAGCCAGTGTTTGAAGGTTCTTTACCCGAGAACAAGTGAGAACTTTTAACTTTTATTTTCAAATGAAAAATTTATTTTGTAAACATTTGACAAAAATACAAGAAGCTTTTTTTAAATTTAAATGTTTGTTAAAAACTAAAAAGTTATAATTAATTATGCAAATATATTTCAGTTTTCGTTCGTCATGTGTTTTTCAAAAACACGTAATATACAAAAACAGTTTTTGTATGTTTATGTAAATAATTCATAATTATTTCTTTGTGGAGAAATTAAAAAATAGTGGCGTGAAAAAGTAAAAATTATTAATTTTGGATAAACTACATAAGTTGGGATTACAAACTAAAAAAAAACAGTTTCTTGTACAATTCTTTTAGCTTTAATTATAAAAAGTTACTGTTAATTTAGCAACAACCAAACCAATGTATACTTTGTATGTGTGGTAAAAAAACGGTTTCTCTAACGAACATGGGTGTGATAATAAGTTACTTACTTAGAAGAAGTTAGAACTAAGTTACGTTTGTTAAATTATTACCGTTCAGCAACACTCTGTCTGATAGTGATTTTAAAAGCAAACGAAACGGAGATATCAACCGTAACTTGGAACCTCCAGACGTTGCTAAAAAAAAATGATGAAAAACGCTTTCTAAATAATTTAAATGTCTTCTTTGAAGTTATTGTAGTTTTACTTTAAAGATAATGGGCTAAAACTAAAAATTAAAGTAGGTACCTCAAATTCGCTAAAATATATCATACATGATGAAAAAAAATGTACAAATTTTATTGTCAAAAGTTAAACTAAGTCAACAAAAACCTGTCCTAAAGGATGTTTTTTTTATTTAAAAATTATTATTTTTGATCCACTTCAGTTAGAGAACCTTCGAAATTTTGGTTAACCAAAAACACTTAAAAAAAAAAAAAAAAGTACAGCTAAAAAAACTTATTTTTCTCGCGTCAACATGAGACCATGAATTTGTACAGGAAATTTGAGCGTCATTTTGTGGTGAAAAACATTGATTTAGAAATTCTTGCAAAAATCAGACAATTGTCGGATTTTGATAAAACGAATTTATATTTTTGAATCGTCTTTTTTTTTTTTTTTTTTTTTTTTTTTTTTTTAAAGAAAATCCTTTAATATATATTAAAATTAAAAAGAAGAGAGAAACCGCCGCAAACGTTTTTGGTTGAAATGTGGATTTTTTTTTTTTTTTTTTTAAATATGCTTTGAGTTTGCTTTAATGGACAAAGTCCGACAATTATTTTAAGACATTTTATGTTAATACATTCTTTTTAGATACAAATATTTAAGTAAATGCTCTGTTTATAATAAACGATAACATTTACCAGCCTGAATGTCTGAAAAATTTTCACAGAAAATATTCGTCCTCCGACAGGATTCGAACCTGTATCCTATACGGAACCGTCATATATAGCCTGACCGATTCGGTCACAGAGGATCGTTCGGTGAGCAAAGTCGAATTTACTGCTTTTAAACTTCAATCATCCATGAATCTCTCACGTACATTCAAATCTGCTCATGGCCGGTAAATGTTGTTTAATACTGTTTCTTTAAACAGAGCATTTACTTAAATATTTTTATCTAGAAAAAGAATGTATAAATAGAAAATGTCTTAAAATATTAGGCTTTATTTTCCATAATTTTGCTACACGGGTTTCCGGTATCGCGACCTTCATCAGGCAAAGAGTGGATATTTCCACAACTCTATGAAATCGCTAAAAAATAGCATAGCATGATGAAAAATACACCAAACTTGACGAAAACAAAATTTTATCGTCTAAATGTTCATGTTATTATTAAGAGGAAAGACCAAAGTTTTTTTACTTATTTTAAAAAAATTTTCTTTCTTTTTAGAACATTCTAAATTTTGATGAAAAAAAAAACATTGTTTCTCTCTGTATTACCGGAACTAGTAAAATAACAGACAATTTTTAGCACTTTTTTTTTTTTTCTTGTATGACACACATTAATTTAGAAAATCTTGCAAAAATAAAAATAATTGTCGGATGTTAATGAAACTTTCAGAAACTATTCACAGATGATCGAAATTATTATAAGTTTTTTTTTGTTTTGTTTTTTTTTTTTATTAAAGTCATGGCAGAAATATATTTTTTATATTTATTACCCCCCCGCAACTAATTTTATGAAAACACTAGAAATTGATCGTATTGGGTTTAGTGATTAGAACAAATTATGATCCCATAAATCCGTCAATACGTCATTCATCACCTGCCAAGTGACATGAAAGATTATGACCTGCTTTGTTTTATTTTCAAATTACATCTTTTTGGCACAGAAGCTAAATCAACCTTGGTTCAAAATATTTTAAATAAACATTGTAATTTCTGATTTTCTTAAAATAAATTTTGAAAAAAATGATAATTGATTTTTAAAAGAATTTCAAAGTGAGATTTTCATCTTTTTTATAAAATGGAAAAAAATGGATGCCATAATCGATTATCTGTCAATTTTGCTGACTCAAAAATAAAAGATTTTTAATGAAAATTTTGGATGTGCTTGGAATGATTAAAAAATGTAAAAAAATACCCCCAAAATACTTTGATCTTTCCTCTTAATAATAACATGAACATTTAGACAATAAAATTTTGTTTTCAAGTTTGGTGTCTTTTTCATCATGCTATGCTCTTTTTTTAGCGATCTCATGGAGGTACCTATAATTAAAAGGAGTTAATTTTTCTTATGTTTTTCGATTTTAAATATTCTTGATATTAGACATTCTCTTTTTTGTGTGTTAGTGATCCAAATGTCTTCCTTGAACTGGCAGTGAAAAAGTTCTGCACAAAGGGTAATAAAACAATTAAGATTGGTCCAAGAAAGGGTGAGAAAGATATTTATTATCTTTTAATGACCCCTGTGTGTTCTTAGATCTATTTCCATTTAATTTTGTTTTTGTCATACATACATACATACATACATACTGTCTTATTATAAGGAATTAGTATACATATATGTACATACATACACATACACACCCTCTTCCTAAGTTGTGTAGGGTTCGCGTGTGTGCCCGTGAGCAGTTTTTTTTTTTTTTTATCAATGTGCATATATATACCAGTATGCGCATGTACATGTGCACTCCCTCTCTATACATATATACTGTCTTATTATAAGGAATTAGTATACACACATACACTTCCTATGTTGTGTAGGGTTTGCGTGCGTGCATGTGAGCAGTATTGTTTTTGCCAATATGCGTATACATATTCATGCTCCACATATACCTGTGTGTAAGTGTGTGCACATGGATGCAAGTGGTTTGACCACCGTATTTGGCCATTATGTGTGCATGTTGTGTGTTTTTTGCATGTGGGTTATTATGATCTATTTAATGCTGGTTTAAATTTGTTTATGAACTTTTTTTCTTGTATTTGTAGGTAAGAATAATTGTCTGTTTGGTATATTGGCATAATTTTAAATTCACCCTGGTTACATTTATAGATGTGTTACAATACAAAGAATTTTCTGTTGTCTGGTAATTTTATGTTGCTTTTGTGTAGGGAGACCCTGTTGTTTAGTTGTTGGCTGATACCTATATATGACTTCTTGCATTTATCACATTTTTGGAGTTGCTTTTATTTATTATGAATGTCGTTTTTGGGTTTTCAAAAGTGTAGGAGTTTATTATATATATATATATATATATATATATATATATATATATGCTACCTGCTACTCATTTAATTTTATGAAATTTCAGAAAATTCTTTTGCATTGTTTAGTTTATGACCATAATGAATGTACTCAGAATTTAAATTTTAAATCATCAAATTCTTTTGGTCAAACAGGACTCTCAGTTGTAGAAAATTTGTTATGAATTGTAAAATAAAAATGCAATAACAAACATGTAAGACATTATTTACTTAGTAAAGTTTTTATATATTTATGAATAGAATATATTATTATTGACATTTTATTTTCTCAATGAATAATGAATTTTTACAAGAATTATTTTCATTTTATTTTATTTTTTTTATTTCAAAAACTTATAAACTTTTAAATCTTTTAAAATTCTGTATTAATTTGTAGCAGTCAAGTGATATTGTTAAAAAAATGCATTAAAAAATGGAAAAGCTCAGTACAATTCAATGACCCCCAGTATTTTAAAAAGAATTTTGAATTTATGTGTGTATAAAAATGTGTCGATTTTTGTCAATACGGATGTCCATATATGACATTGTCAAAAAATAAGAGCAGTGACTATAGTAAATTTAAAATTTATTTTTAATTTTTTCTATAAAAATATTTGAAAGGTTTTTTAATAAAGAGAATTATATTGTGTTGACAAATTTGTTAATATGGACGATGTTATAGATTTTGCTGATAGTAAAAAGATAGATAAAAAAAAATAAGATCCAATCAATATAAAATCAATTTGAAATACGGCAAAGTATTTTGCTTATTGGAAATGTTAAATGTATTAGCTTGGAATTAAAATTAAATACTACTAGAAAGAATTTTCATTTTTAAAATGCATTTTAAACCTTATTTAGGTAATGCATTATTTTTTTTATTTTTACCTAGCCTAAAGTTGATCCATAAAAAAAGAAGTTATAAAATGTCCTTAAACAATGATTTTGTACATTTTTAAACCAAAAAGGTAAAAACAAACTTCTTTCACCTAGTTCAATGTGCGAATTTGATGGACCCCCAACAAAAGAGAAGTTAAAACATTCTAAAAATTTCTTGAAATCCAATATATGTTTTGAATAAAAATAACTTTAAGTATTAATTAGATTTTGTAAAAATATTACTTGCTTTTTGCAAAAGATATAACAAAAAAAAAACATTTTCCCTAGTAATATATGTCAACACATTCAACAATAATCTTACAAACTTTTGCTGCTACTTTAAAAAATTGTGATATTAAACAGACACAAGTACTACCGGCATGTGTAGATTAGTCAAAACTTGATGTTTGATGGTTCTTATATTTTTATATCAACGTGTATGAGTTCACAATTTTATATTTGATCTTATGCAAAAAAAAGAAAATATTACAGTTGTAAAATGAAAAAAAAAAAAAAAAAAACATTCTCAAAAATGACATTAAACTTAACATTTTTCAGTTCTTCAAACATTTTTATTTTATATAAAGTTTATCATCAATGACCAAGATCTGAGAGTTTTAAAATCATACTGTAAAAATACATGCTAATTCTTAACACACAAATATACATCAAAAAGTTTTGTTTTTTTTTCTGTAAAGCAAAAAATATACAGTATGTCTTATTATACACATTCCTTTTTTTTTTTTTCTTAAATCAATCATATAATACTTTATAAAAAAATTTAAACATCCAAAAATTCATTAGTACAGATTAGTTACAAGTAAAGGTGAGAGGTATAACTTACCTGAGGAAAAATACTTCTACAAAATTTTTTTTTTTATAAATGGGAGTGTAAGTTGTTTGATTTGGGAGTTACCTATTGTTCACTAATGAATGAATTTTATGCTGAGTAGGTCATTATTTTAGAAAGTTTTTTAAATATTTTTGTGGGGTGTCAGTTTTGATATATGTACTTGAACATTTTGGGGAAGGGTTAATTTGATTTTTTTTCATTTTTGAAATGGTTAGATTATTTTTTGTATGGAAGTTCAAAAAGGAAATAATTCTGTAACTGCAATCACTTAACAGTATCAATTTAATAAGTCTTTATCAGTTTTTTATTTTTTTTAAAAATTATTAAAAGGAATTAAGTTCAAAAGTATTTTGTAATTTTTTTTATACTCTTAATGTAGTATATTTTATAATAAAATTATTAATTTATGAAAGCATAAAGGATAAAAAATTACATTAAACTGTTGGTTATGTAAGATTAAAGGTGACTTATTTTTAAATAATATCTATTTTTAGATTGTAGTAGTTTTAATCCTACATACTTATTTAAATTTTACACCTGCTTTTTAAAAGTTGGGGATGACAACAGAAGACTACTGTTGTTGACTTGATTATATCTCACAGGCTATTGTGCATAAATAAATGTTATTTTCACTGTTTTAAGCAAAAAGTGACTTTTACAAAATCAAATTAATCCTTAAATTTACTTTGAAACATATCTCTAGAAAAAATATTGGATTTTTAAGAGATTTGGTGTTTTTGTTTTTAGTCTATAACAAATGTTTGATGAGTTTATATATGATCATATCAATGTTATAAAAATGTCTAAGAACTTTATTTAAATATGTAAAGTTATTTTTTTATTTTTTTTTTTATTAGAGTTTAGCTTTATGCGTTCAAATATTTCAAATAAAACCAAAATTTAACTTAAAAAAAAACATTGAAATTATTTAAAATGCATTTTCAAGTTTTGGTAACTCTATGGTAGTACCTAATCATAACATTTAAATTTGTAAAAGATACAATATGTGAATAACTGGTTTAATGACAGATGCTGTGTAATCTCAAAAGAAAACCCACTGGTCACTAATTATTATAATTGATTTTAGGTATTTATAAGAATTTGATAGCTCAAACAAAAATGAAATTCAATTTGTTAATTAGTAGAACTGTCACTGGCTGAAAAATACTATGCACATTTTTATTGGCTGAAATATTGATGACAATTCATAATTGGAAGGCTCTTTTGATCTACTTTCACTTTTGATCTACTTTCACTTTTAACTCAATGACATGGAAATGTTTTTTGCCCTGTCCTTTTCTTTTTCTGTTGTTTATTTCAAACTGTCAATTCTGTTCATTGGGCAGTTCTGCCATTTACTTATAACCATGGCCAGTCACTCTATATTCACTATAAGTTTATTAGTTAGAAAATGTAAAAGTGAAATATTCAAATTTTGTCAGCCTGTATTCCATTTTTTTTTTTTTTTTTTTTTTTTCATAAAATCAAATGGAATCAACTGAAATTGTCATTTTACTGTCACAATTTATAAATGTGTAAAATATGATAAAAAAAAAATTTAATAGGATATGAAGATGAATTATCTGAGCTTCTAAAATTAAAGGTGTATTGTGGGAAAACATTTAAGAAGTGTATCAAAAGAAACTTATGAATCAAACATATGTATTTTTTTTTCTTTATTCAGAATTATGATCATTTTATCATAAATTGTCTCCTTATTCTATTCATGAGTTTGATAACAAAAATAAAAATAACTAATATGTTCCTACTCATACAAATTATTTCTGGATAATATCTTTCATTCAACAAGCTTTTGTAAGCACATTTAATAATTTTTTTTCCTTAAGAATATATACTAGTTTGTAATTTCTGAAATGTTATGGGAATAATCTAGATTAAATGAAAAATAAGTATAAAAGTAATGTTTTATGAATCAAACACTATTTTATTTAAACTTTGATATTAAGTCTAACATTAATACTATTTTATATACATACACTTTATGTGTGTAATGAAGTGATTAATTAATTTCTAAATATGTCTATCTTTATTTTGGAGGAAATTATAGCTTTCAATTATTTTGAGTTAAGCAAAACTTGTTCAACATCACTCTCTCTTCCTTATTACATTTTTGTAAAACATGATGCTGACATGGTTATTGAAATTGAAAGACAACACTGCCATCCTGGCAGTAAATAGAAGAATGTGCTGTAACCCACTTCCAAATATATGACCAAACATCAATTTTTTTTATTTTTTGAGAGTAAGTTTTTTTTTTTTTTTGATAAGGCCAAGAACTTCATATTAGCTGTATTAATTTTTTTTTTTCATTAATTTCTTTTTTTTTTTTTTTTTTTTTTTTTTTTAGCAATTTCTTACATTCTGCAGATGCTGTTCATCTGTCTTTGGTGGCTTGTGGTGATCGTCTTGATGAATCTATCGTTCTTCTCAAATCAGCTGTACTTCTCACACATCAGCCTCTCATCTTTCATCTTTTTGTTGAAGATGTTTTACAGAAAAATTTCAGAGATCAGGTTAATTTCTTTTTATTTTTAATTTCAGATCCATTCTTAACAATTCCTTTAGTGATTACATTACTCAACAAAACCAATATCTGTTTCTTCTATATCCACCTTTATCTAAAAAAAAGAATGTGTAAATGACTAAATGAATATTTTGTGTAAGACTAAATGCATCTCATCATTTCTGCTAATTTCTTCATAATTTTTTTCACAGGAATTCAGAATCTTAATTCTTTTGTAAATCTAATCATATAGATATGTCTGTCTAAACTATATAAAAAGTTAAATAGACCTTGTCAGTGTTATTCAATATTTGCTTAGTCAAACTTTTTTTTTTATCTATATATGTCTTTTCAAAAAAAAGTTAGACTAAGCAAATATTGAATAACACTGACAAGGTCTTCCTATTTAACTTTTTATACAGTTTTTCCAACTTCTCTCTGAGGTGTTTTACATCAGAATTAAATATGTTAAACTGTTCAAAGTTCATTTTTATACATTTGAATACTTTAGACAGTGTGTTTCTATGTTTTCTATTAATATGAAAATGATGTCAACATGTCATATTGAGGGTTTTGTTAAATTATTGAAGACAGTTTCTACATGGATCATTAGATGAAGTGGGCCCCAGAGGTAAGCCCATAGCTATGCTGTCAGTCTGTGTGTAAATGATTATTATAAAATGGTGCTTGTGTTGTGCAAGTTTATATAAAATAGTTGGTCTGATATTAGGATGTGGGATCTTAGAATGGTTATATAAATTTTGTATTATTATTTCTCTAGTAAAGTTTTTGAAAGTGAAATCCAGTAACCTTTTAGAGACTTTGTATAATATATATAATCACAAACTAATTTAGATGGAAAAATTAACAAAATTTAATACACTAGCAAGGAAATCAGTTATGAGTGCTGATAGTTTAGCGGCTAGTATTGTAAGTGTAGGTAGGTAGCATTTTTCACTGTAATGGTTGAAGAGCTACAACTATACTATTGGCTTTGCTGGCAGTTAGGTCAATTGATATTGATATGTCCCAAATGCACCATGACAAGACTAATGGCAGTGGTACCAATAACAAGAACAGTTGAAAAAGCAACTATAATTGATGAAAGTAATGAGTAACCATGATCTGTAAGAGAATGTACAGTTATCAGTTCTGTGAAAGAGACAGTCAAAAGTGGGAGTTCTATGTCAGGGAAATCAAAATCAAGCAGATATGAAAAATGTAACTGTCTAGGTGGCACAGTATCACAATGAAAACTGACACAAATATAAAAATGCATTGAATATCAAATCTACTTAGAAACAAATGGTAATGGACTGGTATATAAATGTTTAACCTCTTATATAGCAGTGCTGGACTATTTTGTACCAAATGAAGAAAAGATTTGAAGCAACAAAGATGTGGATATGTCAGTGGATGTTGAGAATATTATAGTCAGATTGTGTGAGAAACAAGGAAGTTTTAAGGAAAGAAATTGTTTCTAACAATCATAGTAGACATTTTGGGAACACTGTGAAGAGGGTGTTAAGTTCTGTTCTATGGACAATATTTGTTGCCCAGCATAGGGATTAAATTGAGCTACTTTGGCAAAACCCCTCTGAACCAGCAGAGGAAACAGGTTAATCCAACAAAGTATTAGTTTTTATAACCAAAAGTATGCAAGTTCAATCCCTATGCTGGCCAACAAATATTGTCCACAAAACAGAAGTTAACAGAGTGCTTAGAAAATTTATACTTACAGAGTAATATCAATGGCTGGAGAAGCAGTAAGAAAACTATTTGATAAGTTGATCATGAAAAAGTCCCACAAAGAGGTTCCATTAAAGAACAAGTATGGCTGAAAGCAATAAAAATTTAGAAACTATGGCGAACCATTATCATCCATGTTCTGAAGTAATATGGTATACATACAATTAAGATTACAATAATTAATGATTTTTTGCTTGGTGCTGAATTATTGAATTTTACAATAACTTGTAGATCTCCATGTAAAGATCTGATGTGTACAAAAAATTTTAAGCTGACAAAATAATCTACAAGATTATGTGCCTAGAATCAAGGCATCAAACTCTATAGACAAAGCTATAATTATAGTAAATAAAAGATTAATGGATTCCACACAAAGAAAATTAATTTTACTGGCAGAAAGCAACTAAAAAGAGTACTGACACACAAAAAAGAGCTAACAGCAATAATAACTTGTAATTTGGGAAATTAAAATCTTTTCCCAAAGTTTTTAACTCAGTTGAGACTTTTTCTTTTAAGCATATTATCTGTTCATTGAAGAAATTTGGCCAAAAACCCACAATTATTAAGGAATCATCTTTTTTTTTCACTATTATTTGGTATAATTTTACCTTTTCCTCTACCTGTATAAAACAATGAATTTGCACACAATGCTAAATATGCAATTTGCTAACACGTAATGTTACATATTGCAAATCATTCAACTAAGTTGGTACACAGATTTGAAGAAAAGAAAAACATATTACAGAATTTTTAATTGGTTTCTTTCCCTGATAATTGGAATAAAGACAATCCCAAATATGTCCATTAAGATTAAATTGATTGTAGACATTTGAATAGTATCATAGGTGCAATCATCTACATGGGTTATCAAAATTGATTTAATTCATTAAACTAACTGTACATAAATTTTACTTTTTGGATCAGTGATAGCTTTTCATACATTAGAGTGCACAATATACAAACAATATTTTCAGAAAGCTGTCATAACTTCACAAAAATAGATCTGTAGCCTTAAAGTCCTTTTGGGATAACAAACTATTTAATCCAGAGACTGAACTTGTGTCCAGTTACCACACAGGCATGAAACCTGAAATGTGCTGATCTGTAAAATATTGTTGAATCCTGGTTTATTTGACTATTGTTGGTACATGTTAACCATCAAGGCTAATTGCTTGAGTTAATCTTATTTGATTTAACCTACTATGTTGTGTTTATGAACATAAAAAAAAAAAACAATTATTAGAAAGAATTAAAATGGTTGTAACATTAGCACAAAGAAACCCACAAGCTAACCTTGTGGTCATCAAACAGTTGTTACTAGGCCAGGGGTCGTGTTTTGAACAAAAACTAAGAAAACTGGGAAAATAGACAAACAAGAGTGAAACAAAGCAAGATAGAATAAATAAATATTTCTATCAGGAACATCTTTCAGAGAGAGAATATTTCAAAGAATGTTCTTAAGTGTTTCTGTAAATAAGTTGAACTTACTCTGCATTGTGAATGAGTGATGTGTACTGTCTACACTATGTGTGTCTATTTCATGGAGTGCTAATTTTAGCATCCTATTACAATCTTGGCCTGAAATGAATTAGCCTCTCCCAGTTCATAGCATGCATACTCCAGTTTTTTTTGTTTTTTTTTTTCTTTTTACACATACCCAAAAGCTGAAAAGTTATTTCCACTGATTGAATTTTTCATGCATGTGTGTCTGTTAAAAGGGATTTCACATCGTAAATCTTTTTTGATTATTTATATATATATTTATATATATATTTATATATATATATATATATATATATATATATATATTTGCCAGAGTCAAAAGGTGAATTTCTTTTAACAGTCTTGTTACATTAAATAAATTCAAAAGTTAAAGTATTTGGTCTATCTTTTGTTATAAATGGTTCCATTTACTCTCTGCATTGTATTCCTGAGTATTTTGGAGCTAAAGTTTATTGATCCCCTTCCCCAATTTTCTTTTATTTTATATCATCTCTGCCTGGCAAAATCATATAGCATCTGATATACTCTAATGCTCATTCTCAAAATGTGGTTTGCCTACCATCTATTATGATATGTATCAATTACATTCAGTTTTGTACAGTTGTTTATTAATTTCTCTATTTGCCAACACAAAAAAGGAGACAATAGAAATTTCAGTTTATCACTGGATTAAGGCAACATTACTGAAATAGGACTGTTTGATTAAATGTGATGTCGCAACAAGTAGTATAATCGAAACTGCTGAAAATGAATAATTGTAGACTTTTTTAAGTATAGAATACTTTTAAACTATGATTTATAAAAAGAAGTGTTCAAATTTCATCTTAGAATTTTATTCAATATTAATTTGTAAAAATAAAGAAAAAAACAAGCAAACAATATTATAAAAAGGTTTTATTCCATGTCGATTAAGGAAACTTCATTTCTTTTGAATGAAGAGTTGTTTCCACTTAATCAGCTTTTTAAGGGAGGTAATTTCACAGCAACATTTCATTTATTGAATTTTATCTGCCTTTATTGAATCTCAATTAACCATTTGTACTCCCATATGAAAAAACATGGTCTTTGAATGAAAAACTTTAATACTTTTACAGGTAAAATAAAAAAAAAAAATTGACTTGGATTTTAATGTACATCTGTTAATTGCACAGAAAATATCATTTATAGATTTTTAATGTGTTCATGTATATCAAAACTTGTTGAATATTATTTCTTCAAATATCAGGAATAAAAGATTTATGAAAAAATAAAATTTAATTTTGTTTTCTCTTTGATACAAACTTCAGATTATATTAAAATAATTCCTGGTTATATATCTGATTGGAGGAATTATCTCGAGATATCTTTATAATATTACTCCAATTTTTGTCCATCTTCAAATTGGTTCCCTTGAAACTTCAAAGTTTATTTTGTTTTTATTTCATTACAGTTGGAATTTTGGCCAGACGAGTTCAAGCGTAAAATCTATTACCGGATTTTCCCCATCAGCTACCCTAGTGACCAAAATTCTAACGAGTGGCGAAAACTCTTCAAACCTTGTGCCTCACAACGTCTCTTTATTGCTGTGAGTTTCTGTTTTCTATTTCATACTGAAATGTACAAATGCATTAGTTTTGATTATTAGGATCTTTATGGTACGATCATTTTGTTTGAATAATTTTAATTCTTGCCTTTATCTTCTTTAACGTTCTTCTGTTTCTGCTAGAAGATGCTTATCTTGTGCTATTGTGACGTTTACTACTTCTCTCCCTGGTGACATAACTCTATGTTCCTAAATTGATTGTTGACTGATATTTGAACATAGATATTTAGACCTTCGAAAATTCATGGTTGACCTCTTCAGCACAGCAAATCATCAACTCTGTTCTTACAAGTTTCAATCTGATGCAGAGGGTTTGCTACTTTTTTTTTTTTTTTTTTTTTTTTGTCTAATTAATCCAATCCTGGCATTCCCATTCATGGCAATCTACTTGATCAAGGAAGTATTTGATGCAAATAGTCATCATAAACTCATTTATATCACAATAACTATATAATCATTTTTATTATAGTGAAAACCATTTATAGTGAAAACCATTTTTGCTCAATTTCAACTGATCAGCTTAATTTAGATTTCCAGTTTTTCAGATACAACTAATTTTGTTGTGTATTATAAAAATAATACCTTTATCTTGGAACACACTCTCTCTCTCTCTCAATAAATACAAACTTTTTAGATGTCAAATATGCATGTTTCTGTTATCTTGAGTTGCATTTTATTAACTTCAGTATTATTGTTTTGTAGGATTTCCCTATTTTTTTGTTTTTGTTCATATATGGTATGAAATGGTTTTTCCATAATAAAGCATCAAACTGTGCTTTGTATTTAAAAAAGAAAGAAAATTGTTACACTGGAAACAATAGTATTTGTTAAATCTACTTCCACTTATTTTGGTGTTTTAAGTTTAATTTACTTCTATCCTTCTCCCAATGTGATCCTGCGTATCATACAATTGACATATAATGGTAAACAGAGTTATCTTGGAAATGTTTCATCATAAAATGTTTACATCATACTCAGCCAAGATATTTTTTTTATTTTTAATTTTCTTTTATTAAATTTTAATTTCTTTTTAGTCTTTTCTGACAGATGTTGATGCTCTTCTTTATGTTGACACTGACATTTTGTTCCTGAGCCCAATTGGAGCCATTTGGCAGCATTTTAATAATTTCACTGCTTTACAATCAACTGGTCTTGCACCTGAACATGAAGATGCTGTTACTGGATGGTATAACCGATTTGCCAGACACCCTTACTATGAGCCTTTAGGTGTGTATAAAAAGTTTCTTCTATTAGTATTAATATAGAGTTGCACCAGGTTAGATGTGTGTACTGTATCTGGCAATATTCCTTTACTACACTTTTAACAATAATGCTTTTAAAGTGAGTATTGAAATGTACATTAATTCATTACAAACTTTATTTTTGTCTAAGAAGTCATGATGACTCTCATTTATGTTGATTTTTTTTTTTTTGTGGGGGGCAAAATGATTACTGGGTTTATGGTAGCTACAAAAGAACTTTTTTTTTTTTTTTTTTTTTTTTTACATATTTGTTACTGCAAATATAGCTTGCAAATGTCAGGAAATTTATTTCTCTATCTTGCAGGAGTCAACTCTGGTGTGATGTTAATGAACCTGACAAGGTTACGCAAGTCAAATTGGCAGTCAGCAATTCTTGAATATTATAAAATTTACAAAATGTATATTGTCTTTGGTGATCAAGACCTCATCAATATCTACTTTCATTTTCATTCAGGTAACACAAATGAACATTACTTGGAACTTGAGCAATTTTATCATTGAAATCATATCATTGTTTTTGCTTGCCTATTTATAATTTCATTAATTATAAATTTCATTAAATTTCATTAATTATAAATAGACAAGGAATATTTATCAGAAAAAAAAAAAACTTATTTAAAATCAATAATTTTGTAATGTCTTTATTTATTAAAAGGCTGAAGTCTTTAGAAATTGTCATGTTATTGTTTGAAAGAAAAAGATTTTTGTTGTTGGGAGTCTGCTGATTATTGAAAACTGGTCAAAAATTCTATTTCCACTCTGCTTCTCCATTGCCTTCCAAGAAAATATATAGTAAACAAATGTGACATTGTTCTAAAAATGACTGGAAAAAAAAATCGAAATCTATTTTAATAAAGATGGGGAAATAACTTTTTGACGCATTGCACTATGGTGGTCATGTTACCATCCATGCCATTTAATCAGTCAAATTCAATTTCCTGTGTGTTTGTTTCATATATTTCATATTTTATCTGTATTTCTTTTAAGTTTGTCTTCCATGAATCCATTCAGATTGTTAAGGTATTTCAGTAATAATGAAATAGGATTCAGTGCCTTTTTATTTATGTTTTTGTTTTGTTTCAATCCATTACAGAACTTTGAAATAATCATGAAATGCTTTTTCAGATGAGCTCTATATATTCCCATGCCATTGGAATTATCGACCTGATCATTGTATGTACATGAGTGTTTGCAAGTCAGCTGAACAAGAAGGGGCTGCCATCATTCATGGCTGTCGAAGAGTCATGCATACAGATAAACAACCAGCTTTTAAAGCCGTTTACTTAACGTTTTATAAGGTAGGATATTTATATATTTATCAAATGAAATTGAAAGAAATGTAAGTGTCATTATTATCAGTATTTATGCATCTAGTAGTTATTGAAAAAAAAAAAAGAAAAGGAAATTCTTCCTAAGAAAAAATTTCTCTAATTACTACTGATGATAATTCATGAATTATTACATCTACAAGTGTGTTTAGTCAGAATATTTACATCAAATTTAATATTGAATAAAAGTTTCAAATGATTTGGTTTCTCCAGAAACTTACCACTACTTAGGGACTGGTTCACTTGTTAAAAAAAGGTCTTTTTTTTTTTTTTCAGAAAATAATTTTTGTAGATTAGCATGTTAGAATTGAAAAATATTGATGATTTTTTTTTTTTTTTAAATGATTTTAAAATGGTCCTGCTCATAATATCAATGCCATCTAAAATCAATCCCTGACCTTTTACAGAGTTATTGGACTAGTTGTTATTTACAAACATCGATTTTTACAAATATTTTTAAAAAGATGAAAAGCAATAATGATCAGGATTGTAATAAAACCTAAACATATGAAAGTAAATTTACACATTTTGTTTGTTCTTGAGAATTGACAACAAAAATCATAAACACTATTTTATTGTTTATTGGAATAGTTGGCAAAACACTGGCTAATTGCCAATTGATTCAAACTTTATAAAATGCTAAATAATAATGATTTTCTTATAGTTGGTTCATATAATTTAATAAATTAATAAATATTTATAAATTTATGAATAAAAAATTTTCATATTTTTATAAATTGGTAAATGATAAATATTGCATTGCATTAGTTCTAATTGTAATAGGTTTTAGAATGTTGTAAATATAAAATTGTTTTATAAATAAACAATTTAGATTGTGTTTCAGATTTTTGTTGTAAATTCTCCAGAACAAAGAAAATGTAAGTTCACTTTCATATGTTTCACTTTTATTACAATTCTAATCATCACTTTTTAAAACAAATATTGAAGAGTGAAGGTAGTTTAAAAAAAGTAGTATCATGGGAAAAGCTGTCTTTTTGACATTACATCTTATTATATGTACATTTATCCATGTTTGCCAAAAAAGATTGTATATTTTGAAAATTCTAGATAATTACACTATGATAAATCACTTTGAACAATATTGTAAGCAAATTTAGACAGATTTTAATTTGTTTATAATGACACCTTATTTTTGTCTTAAAGTATTTTTGCTAATGTGAAATTAGACAAACTAAAATTTCTCTGCATTGACTTATAAATAAATGGAATTAATTATTTTAATGTAAAAATACCTGGATAACCTTGCTGTATATTTTCTGAATTGCTTGCTTTTTTGTTTTTACATTATTTTTATAAATGCTCTTTTTCAGCATCGTCTTGGTGCTGACCTTCAGTATAGCCTCCTGGATACTCTGAAACGGGAATTAGACAATGTCTCATCAACAAAATGTGGTCAGGTCCGTTACATATTCAGTAAATGGATAGAAAAGGAGATATTAAACAGCCCCACAGAAAATGGACACTGGTGAAAAGTCAACATCTGTTTCAAATAGGGAGAAATTTTAAGATTCTCTATCTACATGGGTAAATGGTAATTGTAATATTAGCTGTTTCCTTTATAAGGAAACATTCAACATTCATTGACCATCAGCCAGTACTACTTTCACTTGAAATTCATTAAAATCTTTCTCTTAAAACAATTTTTCAGGAAAATAGGCTTCTCAAGTCCAGTAGCTGTTATTGCTCTTTCTAGTAATGATGGGGGTTTCCTTCCTAACCTTTTATTTGAAGTTAACATGTTGTTATTTTCTCTTTCAGTTACATGTGATAGCCATTTTAACTGTTGTTGAAAGTCCTCAAGTGATTTGTTATCAGTACTTTGTGATTCTGTAGTGCCAGTTCACAAGGTTCGAAGAAGGATGGTTTTGAAAAGATTAATAATTTTACCACTCAAAAAGCCATTTGTGATATTGATCTTAGAAAGTAGGGAAAACAGCTGACAGTTTAGGGATATTTCTGAACAGGTTTGTACCATGCATGACATCCATATGACTGTCTCAATCTGATGAGGCTCTTTAAGAACATTACTTGAGTTTTCAGGTTAATGTTTAGGCTTTTTAGTAATTTGTGGTGTTGGGCAAAACTACCTCAAGTGCAGTCTATTCTATGTTCAATTTCTTCATCTCCAGTTTTTATAACTGATTCATATTTGAAGTGTTTAGCATTTACTGATTTCAGATCCTGAATTTTTATTATGGATTCAGGGTATGTGCCATCATTGCTTTCATTCCAATTCCAGATCATACATAGTTTTTGTTTTGGAAAGGTTTATTTTTAATCTTATTTCTTGGAGCACTTGGTAGAGGATGTTGATTTTTTTTTTTTTCCTGTTGAAGATCATCCCAGAAAGTAAATATTAAAATATTGGCATCATCTTTTAAATTATCAGGTTTTACATTGTCTTCAGGAGAGGAAGCAGGGTCATTGTCTTTGTAGATTCGTTTGGAATGTAGTATGGAATGCTTCAATGATCAGTGCCCATCTGTACTTGTCAGTGGATTTGGAGCTTGGAAGGTGGTTTCTAATGGATAAGAAGTATCTATTGATGTGGCCATATACTGCTGTGAGATTGACATAGCAGGTATACAGTTTCCTGGAGTTGTCTGATGATATTTGTATCGTCATTACATCTGTTACCAGAACAAAAGCCATATTGGGTAATGAGTTCACTTTCATAAAACAATGAAAGCATAGTTAATATGTTCATTAATACTTTCACCACAATGTATCCAATTGAGATACCTCTGTATATGTGAGGGTCTTGACTACTACTTTTATGTTTCCATAGTTCATTCATGTGTGATAAAAACCCCATTTTTGGGTGATGCATTTCTGATTCCAGACTTCTTTCATAAAATAGAGAAATTTGTTATTGAATTCAGAGAGAAAGCTATTTTCAAAAGTTCAGCTTCTATGTCAAATGATTCTTTATTATTCCTTAGTTTTTTAATAGCTTTCTTAATTTCTTTATCACTAGGTTTATTATTGTTTGTTTTGAAGACGGACTTTGAAGATTGGATGTATATTGGCATATGTTCAATTTCTGTAGGCATCTTTAGTTTAGTACGGTCAGGGTTGAAATGTGTTTTTTGAAAACCAGGACATTTATTCTGTGGTGGTTTTGATTGAATGACATCATAATATTATACTAAGTGATTCACAAACTGCTCTTCCCAATAAAGACAAAAAAAAAAAAAGTAATTATTTGTTGGGGTTAAAATGAACATATTCCAATATTATCTTCCAAAGAGTAGAGTATTGAAGATTGTTTTTTTGTTTTTTTAATGACCTAAAACTCTAAATAATGAAAATAAGAAATCCCATCACAAAATTTTGTTTAGCATAGATAAACATTTAAGTTTAAATAACATGACATTTCTGAAAGTTTTAGTGATGCCTGAATTAATGTGGTTATTTCAATGCTTATTTCTGAAATCCTTTCTATGGAATTGTAAAATTTACTGTACTTTAGTCTCTGATACATCATGCCAGAAGTCTGGAAACCTCTATAAAATAGTTAAATTTGAGTTTACAGTATTAGAATTTATTTTGGTCATTGTTGTCATTTCTGAAATTGCTGATTTCATGCTCTTGTCTTGTGTGTCCATTTGTTTTGCTTGTGTATGTAATGTCAACTATGTGTTGGTGTGATATGAATTACAAGTATTTGTGAATGAGTTTGTATACAACTATTGAATAATTTTATATTTTTCCACTGTCTGGATAAACACTACCCCCAAGTGATCAACCTGTTCAAAATTATGTGGAAAGAAAAATGTTGTTCAACTTATTTTCTGTCAAACTCAATTTTCTTTTGTGTGTGTATACTTTGAAATATGATTTGAAATAATTAACTTTTCTTTTAACTACAGTGAGAAAACTTTATTATCTTATTGATAATTATTTCACTCTAATATCTTATTCTTCTTGTCTATTTCAATCAAATCATGTCTATCAGTCTCTTCATATCTATCCTATATCAATATCAGTGTCTTCTTATCTATTTGTACTTGGCAGCATACAGATGGCCACAAAGTAAATGCCCAGTTTATTACTTATGATAGTAAAGTGAATTTGGATTAAATTTTAAAAAGAAACTTAGTGGTCACAAAAACGTGTATTCATAAAAAAATGTTAAGGGGGGGGTATGACTGATTTTCTTGGAGAAAAATCCATTATTTTTTTATTATTATTTTTTTTTTTTTTTTTGTCCCAAAAATAATTGGATAATTATAAAATTTTATTGAACTTTTTGGAAATTATTTGGTAATAAAATTATTTTTTAAGTTTGTAAAAAAAAAAAAAAAATGAATCCTGTTATTTAATTAAAATATGCACACAAATCTTAGGAATACAATTTGAATGAAACTGAAATAGACATCTGTGTCATGAGGGTCAACCTCTGGCCCTTTTTGAAGTCATTTTTATAATTCTTGTATTTAAATGGAATATATTTTCTAATAAATGTTTAATTTAAAAAACTATAATTTAGATTTGAAATTTTATCATCTTGGTGAAATGAGTTTTCTATAATATTGAATTGAAAAGATTTTCATAATGAAAGTGAGTTTTCATAATGAAAAAAACATTTCAATATTATTGAAAACTCACTTGGCAAGGCAAAAGATTAAATTTCAAATCTAAATTGTTTGTCCATAGAAAAATATATTCAGTTTAAATAGCAAAAATCAAAAAATGGTTTCAAAGTTAAACACATTTCTCCTTATAAAATTTTCCTTTTACAAAATTTTTGCCAGATTAAATACTAAAATTTTTTTTAGGAGTGAGAAAGATTTTTTTTTATTTTATAATTGCAAACATGTAAGCAAAAAGTGAAAGTTTGGAACATGTTTTTTTTTTTTTTTTTTTAAACTCCAAATGATTTTTATTTCTCTTTTTTTTTTGTCCAAAGCTGAGTTTGAGGAAAATGTATTGTTTCAATGTCTTTTTCAAACTCTTCTAAATTGTGCATTTCTTGAAAAGATTAAATGACAAAAGTTTGACATATAAACACTTATACACAACACAGGCCTGAATTCATGCAAAGTCACATTCAGGCAGTGTGTGTAATTGACTAAGAATCATCTTCTTTTATAATATAGATTGGTACCTAATTATTCAGCACAAAATTTGTTCAGCATCAGACATCCCTTGTTTATTCAATAACAGAATCAATCTTTGAGGCTTGATTTGCATTCCTAGGCTTTTTTTTTCTTTTTTAAATATAAGAATAAAATATCCTAAGAATCTTATTTTCTTCTTATATTTTTTGTATTAGAATTAATACAATCAGTGCAAATGCTAGGTTATAAAACTTCCAATATAAGAGAAATGACAGCAAGGCCAAAACAACAGCTACAGCAGAAAAGAGATGCCTTGATAAATGCAGTCAAGTTCTCCACTCAAGGATTATCCTTTAACTTAGTGAATTTGAGGGCATAGTAATTGTGAGTTCAATCTCTGAGCTAGACATTGTCAATGGAAATGGATGAGCAATATCTGATTTTACTAAAATAAGGACTAGAGAAGATATCCCTAGACCCAAGCAGTGGAATGAAAACAATTTAACCCTGTAGATTAAATAAAGGGTCTAGTTCAAAATTCCTTGAAGGTTCTCTCGCCCAATGAAGGTCAGAGGCACTGAAATGTTTGAACAACAAAGCTGATGACAATAACTCTCATCCCAGAAATTCAGGCTGAAATTAGTAAATAAAAAATATACCAAAATTAAAAGAAAATAAAAAAAAAAGCACATTCATGACAACTGTAATGGTAAACATGAATAACTTTTGGCCGACCAGTAATAAATTTGATAAACCCTAAGGAATGTGAGTCCTTTTTGAACAATGTATCAAAAAATACATTGACCTTATCACTTAGTCTGAATCAAAAACAAAGCAATCCTCCTTTCCTTTACAATCTCAATCACACTGACCACCAATTTTTTTTTTTTTTTTTTTTTTAATCTATTTTGCTTCTCTTTCCTTCTCAGTTTTTATCAGTGACTACCTTTCTTTTTCCTCAACAAGTTATGCCTTTCAACAAACATTAACTTATAAGGTTGGCCTATAAAAATATGCACACTTTCTATATAATATAGGTGTTTGTTGCAAATACCAAAACCATTCTTAATGAGCTTGATCCTCACTATTATAATTTTGTATAAGACTAATTTACAGCTTTTGTGTGTTACTTAAAACCAAAACATATTTTAGATTGTAAGAATAATTTTATTTTTGTTAGTGAATAAATGTTAACAATTTTAAGGATAATATTTTTCCGGATACAAGTCCCTATTATTTAACCCATAGTTGGGGAACATGTTTTCTGAAGGGTATTTTCATGCGAATATAAACCTGAATGAAGGTGATAATGCCACTAAGATGGCTGGAAGGAAAGGCTTTTAGAAAGAATCAGAAACCCCATAATGGTCTAAATTTCAGAGTTCAGATGGAAATGTTAGAAATAA